TACCACATCAGGAATAAAATTTATGATGGAAAAAAAAAAATTTTTAACTCCTGTGTTTTCTTGTGAACTTTATAGGACTTACATTTAGGTCTGTGATCCATTTTGAATTTTTTTTTTTAGTATGAAGCATAGGGGTCCAACTTCATTATTTTATACATGGATATCCAGTTGTCCTAGCGACATTTTGCACTCTTCCCTGCTTTTACCTGGACTTCATTTTCCTTTATGTGGAATGTCCCTGTTCTGCTCTGTTTGGATTATCTTTTGAGTTTTTTTTTTTTTTTTTTACCTTGAAGTTTTTACCTAGAAGACGAGTTTGGCTGGTTTAAGAATTCATAGCCACTCACATTCCTTCTAGACCTTACAGTAAACCTCATGTACTTACCCACTGTTGAAGTGTACAAACCCTTCCCAGTTCAGCTGCTGTTTAGCTTTTTTTTTTCTATGAGTACTTGTTGGTTATTTTGGAATTTTCAGGACATTGAGATACTCTTTTGCTTCCTTCTGCACAGATGCTGATAATTCATGTGGTCTTGTAGTTGTCAGTGGCTTCTCCCTACCCATTTGTATTTTGGGGCTCCTAGAGATCTTGTCACCACCTGGTTTTATTGTAGCTGTTGTAAATGGATTTTGCTTTGACCTTCCTGATTGCTCTGTATGCTTTTACGGAGAGATTTGAGGAAATTCATAAATTACACCAGTGCTGGTACCATCTTTCAAGAATCCTCATAATTTCGTTTCTTAATCTTGACATTGACATTTTTTCCCCTTTCCTCACTAGATACTCTAAGGTTAGTTAAATGTTAGATAATTTATTAAACTAAAATACAGTAAGTTATATAGGTATAGATGTACAACTGTTTATATTCAGTATACTAAAACTAATATGTGTCTCAAGAAATCTTGATATCAGATGTTTTGATACCTAATCAATCCTCTAATTTTTGTATTTATGGAAGAAAAGCTATTGAAGCCCCATTCTTGGGGCTTTTACTGGCTCTTATGTATAATACATCTTTTCTAATAACTAACAATTTTTGTATGCTTACAAAAATAATAGTCATGTACAATAATGGAAGAAGAAATCAAAGGCTTCTATGTCATTTTTTTTTTAACGGTTACTTGTCAGCAGTTGCCATTTTAATAGGCTTTGGAGTCATACTTTATAAAACCTGCCTAGGATAGTAACCCCCACAAATAAATTGAGTCTGGTTGAAAGTTAAAGTGTTGATAATGACACTTTGGCTGGATGTGGTGGCTCGGCTACAACCCCAGCACTTTGGAAAACCAAGACAGGTGGATCTCTTGAGGCCAGGAGTTTGAGACCAGCCTGATCATCATGGCAAAACCCCATCTCTACCAAAAATACAAAAATTATACAGACGCGATGGCATGCGCCTGTAGTCCCAGCTACTTGGGAGGCAAGGCACGAGAGTTGCTTGAATCTGGGAGGCAGAGGTTGCAGTGAGCCAAGATTGTGCTACTGCACTTCATCCTGGGCAACAGAGTGAGACTCTGTCTCAAAAAAAAAAGATAAAAGAAAGAAATGATAATGGCACTTTAATTTCTACCCCCAGAGATGTTTCTCTTTTGGTTCCTGGAAAAGAATACTGATCTTTGGATCAGGAGACCTGGGTTCAGTTCCTGGCTTCCCGTTTATTTGCTCAGTTAACTTCTGTGATTGTGGTAATTTCCCTTGTCTGTGAAGTGAGAGCATTAGAGTACATAGTCAGTAATAGCTTTTTACAAGGATTCTTTAACTTTGTAGTGAGAGTATCATATTTAGTTCATCTTTTTGTTCTTTAGCAGCCAGAACTTACTTTTACCTACTTACTGTATCAGTAAATTGTGATTATTATTGATGGTGTATAGACCATTGAATAATTGAAATGATAGTGTAGTAAGGAATAGTTGACAAGGAGATATTTTTATATTTTATTTGTTAATAATGGAATTCATATATGTTTTAATAAATCACTTCTCCTGTTGGTCATGATGACCAGTGTTTGGCAATGTGTTTATTTTTATTACTATATACTTACGGGGCATTTATAGTTTTTATAATGGAAGTTGTAGTTTGAAGGAAGACTGCTCTGTGAAGACAACTTGGAATATCTAACTTTTGTATTGCTAGGTACATGTATATATTTTTATAAAACATTTTATATTCAGCAAATATCAAGCTAAAAAGATATATAATTTATTCAGGTTTTTTTCATTTTAGGGTTAAGTGCATTCCTGAATTATAGAAACCTTAATTAGAAAACAAACTTAGCACAATTATTAAATACTTATTAAAATAAAAAATATTTTAAAGTACAAATTCTCTGTTACCCATCATTCCATTTTGGAGATAACTTAGACACCAACGTTAGCATTCTTAATCATGTCATTTTTATAAATAGAGTTCTAATTCTTGCTCAGAGCAGATGACTATCCTCGATTTTATGCCTGACTTGGGTGTAATTCTTGGTATTCAAAAAATATATATAAAGAGAAATTGTAACTTGTCATTGTCAATTTGGGTAATACGTTTTGGGTAATAATACTTAGGTTTGAGTTAATTTCTAAGGAAATCCTAGGAGACTTTTCTGAGTGGCATTGTTGAATATCTTTCCAGAAAACTCATCTATGACAGGCTGAAGGAGCCCTATTCTTTAGATAAGAAAGCCATAGATAAGAATGCCTTACAATTTGTTTAATATTTTTCGTTTTACTAACAATTTACACACTTACTACTCATTTTCTCTTCACAGCAAACTTATATTGACTGAGATTTATTAGATTTATACGTAAGTGGTTTTCTTTTCGAGCAATGCAATTGCTATGATATTTTTAGTCTTGATTTCTAATGTTCATTGCTGGCATATAGAAATGTAATCCATGTTTGTATTTTTATCCAGTCCTGTGACCTTACTGAATTCACTTATTTCTAGAGTTGTGTGTGTGTGTGTGTATTCATTGGGATTTTCTGTGTAGACTATCATGAGGACAGTTTCTTTCTAATCTATGTGCCTTTTACTTTTCTTTCTTTCTTGTTTTCTTTTCTTTT